GACGACAGGAAAGGAGGAGCGGAGGGTCGGGAGGGGGGGGGTTTGGGGAGGGGGTTTTTTTGGGGGGTGCATGCATACCTGGGCGATGGAGGACAATGTGGGTGACATTGTTGGTGAGAACTGTTTGGGGTGCTGCCTCCTGGCGTCGCCACCCATGGGGAGGGTGAGGGGGCTGAGCGGGACCCGGCGGCGGGGGGACGTGCTGGCGGCCGCCGGCAGCAGCGGGGAGAAGGAGGGCAGCGAGGGGTGGCTGGGGGAGGTGGGCACCGGCTGGGCGCGGGGCGAGGTGGGCAGAGACGGGTTGGAAAGGGAGGAGGAGAGCGAGGAGGGCAGGGATTGATTGGAGAGGGAGGAAGGGATGGAGGAGCTGCTGTGGGAGGACTGCAGGGACGGGTTGCTGAGCGAGGAGTGCAGCGAGGGGCTGCGCAGGGACGCCTGCAGGTTGGGGTTGCTAAGCGAGGACTGCAGGGACGGGTTACTCAGGGAGCTCTGCATAGGAGAGGGGAGTCCTGCGGGCACAAAAAGAGACACCGAGCGTCACCGCGCGGGGCGCCGAGGGCGGAGCTGCCGGGGGGCCCGAACCCTTTGTGGGTTTTTTTTGGGGGGGGAGGAGGGGGGGGGGCACAGACACAGCGATGGACACGGCGGTAACACACAGCTGGCGCGGAGCTGATGGAGATGGGGGGCAGACGGCGTGCGGCGGGGGTCTGCACCCACTGATCTGGGGGTCTGCACCCACTGCATCTGGGGGTCTGCACCCACTGCATCTGGGGTCTGCACCCACGGATCTGGGGTCTGCACCCATTGTATCTGGGGGTCCTGCACCCACTGCATCTGGGGTCCTGCACCCACTGCATCTGGGGGTCTGCACCCATTGCATCTGGGGTCTGCACCCACTGCATCTGGGGGTCTGCACCCATTGCATCTGGGGGTCTGCACCCACGGATCTGGGGGTCCTGCACCCATTGCATCTGGGGTCCTGCACCCACTGATCTGGGGCTCCCGCACCCACTGATCTGGGGGTCCTGCACCCTTTGGATCTGGGGTCCCGCACCCACTGACCTGGGGGTCTGCACCCATTGCATCTGGGGGTCTGCACCCATTGCATCTGGGGTCCCGCACCCATTGCATCTGGGAGTCCCGGCCCCATTGGATTTGGGAGTCTCAGCTCCATTGGATCTGGGGGTCCCAGCCTCATTTTGATCTGGGGGTCCCACACCCACTGATCTGGGGGTCACGGACCCATCGGATGTGTGGTTCCCAGCCCTGCTGCAGCCGGTGGCCCTGGTCCCACTGGATCTGAGGGTCCCGGCCCCATTTTGACCCAGGGGTCCCGGCCCCATTGGATCTGGGGTTCCCACCCCCCTGCAGTTACAGACCCCAGACCCGTTTGACCCAGGGGTTCCAGCCCCACGGGATCTGGGGCTCCCGGCCCCATCGGATTCGAGGCTCCCAGCCCCACCACAGCGGGGGTCCCGGCCCCCCCACCCCCCACCCCCCGCTCACCCGGCGCTTCGTAGGCGCCGCCCAGCCCCATGGCGCCGCTGATGCCCAGGTGCGTCATGGTGGTGGCCAGGCTGGAGGTGCTGCCGGCCCCGCTCAGGGTGGGGAAGGAGCCGTCGTCCGGGTCCAGGGGGGTGGGCAGCGGGGAGGGGAAGTGCAGGGTGGTGAGGTCGGGGAGGGAGCCGCCCGTGTTCAGCGCCGACGGCATCAGGGGGACGTTGGCGGCTTGGTCCGGAGATGGGAAAACGCTGAGGAGGGGGGGTCAGAGCGGGGAGGGGGGTCAGAGCGGGAGCCGACAGCATCGCCCACCGCCCCACTGCCCCCACTGCCCCCAGTCACCCACCACCCCACTGCCCCCACTGCCCCCAATCACCCATTGCCCCACAGACCCCATTGCTCCCAATCACCACCGCCCCATTTTCCCCCAATCCCCCATCGCCCCACAGGCCCCACTGCCCCCCAATCCCCCACAGCCCCCCATTGCCCCACCACCCCACTGCCCCACAACCCCCACTGCCCCCAATCC